TATTTTTTTAACAAAATCACTGTAGGAAACAAGAAGAAAGAAGCTGAGTACAACTTGTTGAGTCCAAGTAGAGAAGACTATAAACACCAAATGCTTTTCCTCTTTCCTGGTGAAAAGACAAAGTCACTCTGGAACAGAAAGTTGACAAAGCTGCACTTTAGCAATGTAATTTCAATACTTTCTAATCTAATGTTTTTCTCTTTCAGTCTTTAGAGAGACATGGTAAATCACATGAACTTTTCCTTCTTTTTCATATTTATACACCATACAATTATTTAAAACAGCATAAATTATGAAAAAGTTGCTTCTAGTCCAGGACTCAGCATACGTAGATGTAGAAACAAGCTGTTTCTTGTCCTCTTTCAAGCTCCCATACAGTAGTAGCGTAACACCATTTGGATTTCTAGGAACACCAGAGAAAATTTAGACTGCAACTCAGATATTTTTAAGTGCTCTTGAAACACACTTTTTAAAATTTAATTTTTTGCAATCTGTTTGTAATGTAAAAACCTAAACTGCAAGATGAAATCGCTGGACGGTCTCTTTTTAAAAAAAAAAAAGATTTTATTAAAATTCAGTTTTGTATAAAATAGGCATTGACTTGCATATTTTCTAATAACCCATTAAGAGAAGTTTCAAATCAAGCTTTAAAACGTGTTATTAACCATCCACCCAGCCATTTGAAAGATACATGCCTGTGATAAGAGTATTGTATTGCCATTAACCTGTGGGATGGTTCGAGACATCTCTTATTCACACAAAACTCTAAATGCATCTAATTAAAGCCACAAGATCAGCTGTCCATATTAATCACTCACCGGTTTAATTAAGGTAAACCAGCTTGTCAGAAAGCCAGTCTTCTCTCTATTCGTCACCATTATCGACTTTTAATAGTTCACTGGATTAGTAATTACTTGTTTATGGCATTATCAAATACCTGGGAGAAGAAACCACTGTATGTGCCCAGGAAACTGCTTTAGGCTGACTCTTGTTTGGGACATGAGGAGAAATTTACCCCAGGTAAAGTTTTCTAAAAAGCCATACAGCGCGATTCGGACACAGGAACAACTCGGAAGAGAAACGAACTGATCTAGAAGTGTCGTAACGAGAGATTCAGACTCGCAAGTTTATTTTGGGGTTACAGCTTCTGAAGCTGTGGCGATCACGGAAAAGACCGATGACTGGGGGTTGTTATAAAACGTGATGGTATACAACGTAACCAAAATTAGGGGGAGGAGGGAGCAGGAGAGCAGAGAAAAAAAAGGGATTATGTATATTCCTAATTCTCTTTAGGCATACCTGCTGCCATCAATGATGAACATTTGTTCTGGGAAGAGCTGCTACCAGTGGAACGCTTAGCATATGAACACTAACCTAATTCCTGTCGGAAATAAACCAATTTCCACTTTCTTCTTTACTAGAGGAGTATTTCAACCTAATAATAAAATCTCCACTGTAGCATGTCAGACCAGCAGCTCTCTGGTAGCAGGGTGGAATTTTAAGTCTTAATGCTGCAGTATTAGCTGTAATGAATTCTACGTAAATACGACTTCTAAAAATACAAAAGCCTTTTTCTTCCCTTAAAACCATGTATGAAGGAGAGTTTAAAAGAAAAGGAAATGGGGTCTAGACTCTCGCTGCTGTCAGTAATGAGGATCCTTCCGAAACAGCTTAACTATTCCCACCCAGTGCAGCCCAAATAAAAATATTTCACTCGTATTATTCAGCTCAGCTTTACATTACCATTCAACAAGGGCCACCCCAATAAAAATTATAACTGCTTATAAAACAAGTGAAGAATATGAGGAAAGGCAAAGGGGGATGAACAGACACAACAGAGTTAAACCCTGAGTTGTTGTAAAATTCCACCAGCTCCACATGGTGAATTCCACTGAATACTAAGACCTGGATGAGAAAATTGTTTTTCCACGGGAAAAACAGATTCATTAAACAGTTTTGTGTTATAATCTGTAATGAAACAGCATAGTTACTTATTCAGTTATTAACTTGTGCACATTCATCAGGTCTCGTTCATTTTTACTTGCTTAATTTTACACTGAAACATCCAGGAAGTTGGTTTCCAATGTCCTTCTTTATCTGGATGTTTACTTTTAATAAAGCATAAGCAGTAATCAAAATAAACGAATCGTTATAAAATTTTATTTAGAAAAATTAAAGTGATACTAAAGAAAGTCTGGATCTAAATTTAAATACGAAGAAAAAAAGCACCCGTTGAAATGTACACTTAGGCTTTGCAGTAAGTATTATGCACAGAGGTCAGAGTTTCTGAGCAACCTCAGCTCCAACCACTAGAGACGTTGCTGCCGATTACTCCTGAAGAGCCAGTTCCCTTCCTACATTTTATTTATATATGTACATCCACACACGCACACAAAAGCGCTGCATAGTTATGACCCATCTGAAAGAAAACACATTCACCGTACTGTCAGCGCCCTATTGTAATGCACTCTACCCTTTCTGAATGCGATGTTCAGCTTCGGCTTACCACCCTGACAAATAAAGGAAAGCACTTTATGAAACCAATTTAATTGGGAGGTGACAGAAAACATACAGCCATTTTCTTCAGCCTTATCAGTGAATTGGCTTCCGCTCCAATCTCTGCCAAATCCCACTCAAGAGCAGACATTAACCAGGTCAGCGGAACAGGTGCTGCGCGGGGTCTAGCAAGGGGCTGGCATCCTCACAATTACTTGCACACAAAGAAGCAATAATCTTTACAGATCATCTCGCCCAAGAAGCACACTGGGGACGGGAGGAGAGGAGAAGGGTGGAAGGGAGGGAGGGAGAGAGAGAGAGAAGAAGGGAGGAAGGGATATAAAAAAAAAAAAAAAACAAGCCAGAAAGGAAAATGAATGTGTAGCTGCCTCGCGGCTCAGCAGATGTCTGTGCGTGATGTACGAGGCTGGGATAAGCTGTCGGAGCCCGCTGCCAAAGAGTGGTAAGTGATTAAAGCCTCCACCAGGCTAAGCACCATATTTAGAGTCTATGGGGTTTCAAAAGTTGCACCCATTCCTCGCTGCGCTGCCAGATGTTGTTGGCTGGTCCTGCTCCTATTCACTGCGCGTGGGAGGCAGCAGTTGGTACAGCCAGGAATGCAATCTGGAACGTTTCCGGAGGTGCCGTACATTAAACTGGTGTCACCCATCCTTCACCTCTACCGAATGCTGAAACAACTCCAATTTGCTGCCACTTCCCTCTTGGGAAATGGCCAAGATACAGTTGTGCCTGGCAGACCCATTTGTTTTACTCAGGTGATTCTCTTCCCTCAATGACCTCTATTAGTTTAAGTTTTAATTTAGATTAACCCCAGCACCCCAATTAACCAGTGAGGGGAAAAGCTAAGCTGTGACTAGTCATATTTCTGAAATCACGATTTATCGAAGTTAAAGTTATTAGAAGGAAAGATGGGCCATTGAACTACTGCTATTTTTCTTTTTAAAATTTTACATTTCACGGCCAATAAGCGCCTTCTCTGCACAGGTCCGCTAACTGTCAACCACAGCTATTTCTCCTTGACCACTTCACAATTTTGTTAGACTAACTTAATTTGCTCTGTCTTCTCAGGGTCCACTTGGCCTCTAAAGCTGGGCTTCTGGTCCACTTGGACCCCAAATTTCAACTCAGTATTATCTTACTGCCTTACAGACTTGGCCTCTTCAACCACAACTAGACGGGCACTCTCTGATCACCATTTTAGAGCCCACCTGGATGAACCTGGATCTCCACCTGCCCCAGAGACGCTGCTCAAGCCACAGCAATACTAGCAGAGATGCTCTTAAAATACAGACACAGCCTGGAGAGAAGCTAGCTTGGAATACAATCCCGGCTCTGAGGCAGGCTGCCTTGAGTAGATCCTCTTGCAAACATTAAATGTTCAAATTGTCCTAATTCTGCACTAGGTGAGGTCTACTGCAAAAACTTTCTTGGACATCTACAGCAGTAGGGTTGGAAATGTGTTGAAAATCATCTTCGAAGGAAAAAAAAAACCAGGCAGCATTACAGTTCTCTGTACTTCCTATCCATAAAACACATAAGAATTACCTATTTAATACACCTTTTGATTCATCTTCAGTCCTCGCTTTGTACAAGAAACCCTAAACCTTCAAAGTATTCAAGTGCTTCTGGTTAAATCAGTTATCAGAGCACAGCCACACAGCAACAGCTCTCTTCCACTGCCCTAACACTTTACTAGCCACTCTAAGAACTACTCAGATCAGAAATTTATGCCTTTCTAATGATATAATGATACTTGTTTACTCCTGAAATTAAAGCTCGCTGTGGACCATCAGAGAAAAACTAGTTTTTCATGCATTGAGGAAGGACTTACAGTGAATCATACTCCCCAATAATTGGCAATTTCAGTATTTCATCAAGCTGGCACTGCCATTTATTAAATAAATTACAAACACAAGGTTTCCCTAAGCTGCAGCCTCCATGCACTGGGTGCAGATTCCTTGCTTCTAAGAATTTTGCAAACAAAAAGAATAACTGGCCTAAATCCAAGCTGGCACAACTCCAAGAAAAGTGCTAGAGAAGCCCTGTAGCTTTTTCATTCAGTAGGTAGATGAGATGATTTAGGTTGAGATGAGAGTAACTTAGGTGCTTTTGAGTATCTGCTAGAATCGTTTTTCATAATGGGACTCTACCCACAGAGAACAGTCACCTTTAGAGAATTCAGCAATTTTTCTCTCGTGTAGCAACGATCACCAGCGAGAACAACATCCTGCAGCCCTGACTCACTCGAGCGCAGCAGCGCCAGCAATGGCAGTAAGGTGACATCCACAATGCAAATTTAAGCTCACATGGCCCTACATCGAAAGTTAAGAGAAAAGTCCTCTGAGGTATCTACGGAGATGTTGGATGTTAAACAGATAGATGAGTTTCACTGGTAAGAGAAATTCTAGAGCACAGAACCACATAAGCTCTGTATTAAAAACGAACTGGAGCCATAATTCCAACACAGAGTTACCATCACCTACCTGGTGATAAAAGTCATCATCATCAAATATCTCCTCATCTACGTCCTTCAGGTGCCTGTTGGAATCGGACCCAGGGAGGACTTCCTAGAAGCACAAAGAAATACTGGAAGCTCGTATATGCGTATTTCTCTCCCTAACTCTGATGACATCACGTGCAGCAGCTTATAAACACACTTGCAGATATGAAGGAATGGAGAAAAGCTCCCAACATAACAAGCTTTTAAGGACTAGGAATACATTTAAAGGCAAGGCAGAAACGCTGCCAATGCCAAAATAGATTTATGATACCTTTACTGGGAAATAAATAGGACTGTGCAAAGTCTTTCTGGCAAAATACTACAGATATTTTTAATGTAATGGCAAAAATATATCTTGCAAGTGCAGTAATTCCACATGATCTCTCTGAATTGAATATTTATTCGTTCTTAAATACTAAATTAATAACAGACTTACTACTAACATATTCTGTAGGTTGTATGCAGTGTGATTTTAGAAGTGACGTTCTGGGTTAAAGATTCTAAACGCCAGAGCAGAACCAAAGTTTTGTAGGCAGGACCTCAAAAAGCAGATATAGCAAGCATCACTTCCTACATCACATGAAGGGCAGAATCACAGCCCAAACCTTGTTTTCCCCCATCCGGAACTGGCACAGGAGATAATGCAAACACCATAAAACTGGAATTGAAACGTCTACATCTTTTTCTTAGTCATTACATTAAGGAATCAACACGCAGGTATCTCCTTCATAAATCTCTCACAAGACTATTACCTGTTAAAGGATCAAATTAATTGCTTTGCAAAGAGTTGCACTGCTACTAGAGGGTGAGTTAAACAAACAAAATACCCTTACCGAATTTTCGGGCAAAGATTCAGGGACCGGATTAGATTCCTGTTCCTGCTTTCCCAGCACTGTATACACTGATCGCTTGGTCTGCGTTCGCCGTAGTAATCTCTCTTTGTCCATCATAATATGATCAATCTGAGTCAAGATTGAACGCTCAAAGGCACCGAAACCCTGCAACAACATTAACTAGTGTCAGATAATGCAGAAAGCTTTTCCTCAAGGCAGCAATGTTCCTCTATCTTTCCATGTCAGTGGATAAGCAGACAGCATTCCAAGAGGAGGGGGTCTGGGTTTCATTGCAGGGATTTCTGCTAGGATTTTTTATTTGTTTCTCTCTCCCTTCCCAACCTGAGGCAACCTGATGGCTGGCTTAATAAAATGCCTTTGCTGTTCTGGTTCAGATGAACTTCTCAATGATTAATACGAACTCACAGATGTTAGGAGACCCTGGATCTTTGGGCAAAATGATTACCCGTTGCATTAAAGCATACACTTCATGGAGGAGAGGCACAGAAGCCCCTAGTTGTGCTGTAAACACAAACAGCTTGTTGATCAGCAATAGTGGCATCTTCACAGAGCTGACTTGTTGCTGGAGACCGGCTCTGATGAGATGTCTGGTTGGGAGCACACCAACACTATCCAAGAGTTTTTCCCCAAAACTTGGGAAACCATTTGCCCCTGAAAATATTTTTTTCCTGCCCATTTGCTCAAAACAAAAGAGAGCAACCTATGCCTTTGAAATTTGAGGGCTCAGCTTCTTTCCAAACTCCTTTAAGTTTGGGAAAGTGTGTGCACCTGTGTTAATTCTCACTGCCGTAACTCTCAGCTTAACTTGGAACTTCCACCAGATGAAACTTTCAAATCCACTTGTTCCACAAATCTCTGCTAAACAATGAGCACGTCAGCACACAAAGACTTGCCTTTCCCATTTTGCCAGATGCCAGCTTTGTCTTGTCATGCCACTTCTGCAAGATGTTGTTCCGACAGGTCCTGAAGTCAGCATACCGCTTGGCTATGAACTCTGGGTAGTCGTCCATCTTTAGCTTTCGTTTGGGGAGGCTCCTCCTCTTCTCCTGAGCCTTATCCACTTGCTCTTCATCACTACTGCTAGGGATTTCATCATCACTAGAACAAAACCACACAGACTAAACACCCTACACCTCTCTAAGGCAATGTGTGTGAATTCTTAATGGCTCCTCCACTGCCACCCATGCTCTTTCCACACCATGGGGAGATTTATGGCAAAAATCCCACAGTTTAGCCCCTCTTCCATTACCAGAAAAATTACAAAACAGACTTCCCACACTGGCAGGGGAATTCAAATGGTCACTTGTCCAATGTCTTCACACAGATACAGCAGCAATTGAGAGAACAGCAGGGTGAATATGGTCAGGAAGGCTGTGCACTGTCCTGTTTGAATCAAAGGATTCAGAAAGGTCTTATTTTGTATTTACCTCTCGGATTTTGACTGCTTTCCATCTACCAGATGCCTCGTGCCTGGGTATTGATAAAGTAGCTCATCCTGAAGGTCCACTAACACTTTCAGCAATGTCTCCAGGGCTTTACAACCTGCAGAATGAGAGACACAAGTGACAATTTGCCACTGATCCTTGTTTCTGGTGAAGATTTAGCTTTGCAGTGCTTAGTTTCTCATTTTGAATCTGAATTTCTGCCACAGCTACCGCGTGTTCCATTAACTGTTTTTGTTGTAATCAGTTAGAAATGTGGTTTTATTTTCAAACTGATTTATAGCTCTTAATGTCAAATACCACCATGCTGGGAAAGAACACTTCTTTCTTAAAAAAGGAGGAAAGAAGGCAGGACTGCCTTCTAAACATCTGCCTGGCTGCACATCAGGAGTACACTGATCTAACGTTTTATTGACAAACACACAGACTGCAGAGCCTAAAGGATTAACATATTGAAGACACAAGTACTATGTGCAGAAGTGTTTCATGACGCTCACGACAACAACCTTTTTGCTGACTCACTCATTTCTCTCCTGTGTTAAGTTCTGCGGTAGAGGCCAGCTTCAGTTGAAAAATATGAAGTAATACGAAGTAACACAAGGGAAAATGTGTATAAGTACATCCCACCTAAACTTGACCTGACTTTTCTTGCACATAATGCACATGCTACAGGGAACAGAAAGAAGGCAGGCAAGAAGAGAAACCAAACTCCCGCCGGGCTGTGACTACCGCTGTGCTCACCACGCAGGAGGTACAAGAAATTAGATGGTAAGTAAAAGAAAATGTAGCAAGATCTGATCTATGGGGGAAACTCAAACAATGACCTGGCAAGTTTAATGAGAAAATTCTGATCAGAAAAGCAGAACTGCAGGCCTAGAGATCCTTAGAAACAGAGAAAGTGAAGAAAAGATTGGGGTGGAGAGGTGTATAAAATGATCAATACATGGTGTGAAGGTTTAGTTTTACAGGGATGAGTAGTTGCCTTCCAGAGTATTTGCAGACACAAATCCTGAATGTAGATCTGATGCTGTGTATCCACAGGCTTGCGTAGCTGACAATTTTCCTGTATCTATGCAGATGCAGAGAAAACAATCTTTGTTCCAATGTTTTCCAAGGATACACAGTTGCAGCTGACTGTGGGAAGAGTTAACTACACACTGTTGCAGCATCTGTGCTTTAAAAATAGTTCTTTTGTGTCAACCAACAAGCCTCCCTTCAGACCACTCTGATATAAAACAAGTGTTTGTCTAGGCCTACAGAAACTCTCCCTTTGTACCTTGCTACACATCAATCACTGGGTCAGCTCTTACAGGTAACACACTTAGCACGCTTCTATCCAAAAACCTAAACTGAACTTTACACAGATTAATTTATATTTACCCAACACCGGTGTACTGCCTTTTACAAAGAGGCACCACAGAAAGGGGAAAAAAATGCACCGCTCGGCGGAACGTCGCATCCCGCCCCAGGATGCGTTTTCTCGCAGGATCCGGTCACACAGGCTTGGCTTCTCCCCCACGCACCCGGGACACGCATCCCCTCACGGGGCGGCTGCAGCACCTGGATTTGTCCCCAGGGCAGGAAGAGCACTGTGGTGGTGGGACCACCCCGGAGCTTGGGACCTCCTCTGCCGGCTCCTGTGCTGACGAGGAGTCAGTGGGGCTGCTTTGCTTAACTCCCAAACCTGTTTCTTTCTTTGTAGTCAGCATAACGGAACGGAAAGAACTTTTCACCACTCGATTTTTTTTTTTTTTTTTTTAACAGAGGACACAGAGATCATGGATAGAGTGAACAGCAAATCTTCATCAGCCAGACAGAGACAGTGCAAGCAGAAATCAGCCCAGACGTTCAGAGGTCTCAATCTCCCGCATGTTACCACTGTGATACTGCTCAGTTGTCACCATCTTCAGATAAATTACGGCCTGACCTCAGTAACAGGAATGTCAAGGAGAAGATGCTTTAAGATTTTTGTTGCAGATCAGCTGTTGGACTCATCCTCCCCCAGCCTGCAGTTCATTATAGATACGTTCTGACAACTCTCCTATATAAACCTATTAACGGATTAGGCTTGCCGTACTTGTAAAACAGTCATGTGTTACCATCAAAACAATTCCAAGAGACAAATAGACAAAAGCCCTTAAAAATGCAATTGTTGTATGTGTCTGCAGCTCAAGCATTGCTTGCAAAAGCAAAGAGCCCCCACCCCAGCCTGAGTGCACAGCTTACAGCAGCAAAATCCTTCCCGCTGCCTGCAACACAGCTAAATGTCCCCAGAGCTTCCGAAACTGTTTATTTTCTACCCGCTGCCTATCCTCCAGCAGCAGGGCTAATGCACCCCAGGCGGCTTTGATCCTGTCAATTACAACTGGAGTAGCACTCCAGCTCTTCTGGGGTATAGCAGGGCCACGGCAAAAAGGCGAGGAATAAAGACAGGCTCAAGCTCCCCCAGGCTATGAGATACGGACCCCAACAGAAGTGGGGATGGGGAGCAATTTTATTTGGAGTGAAGGGGATGGAGAGGGCAGAGAAGACAATGACCATGCATCTAACCAGGTGGGAGGGCTAATTATTCCAGACAGTGGCTTCATCATGAGCCTCTTACAGCTGGGTAATTTCCATGTTTTCAGTTCTTGTGTATTTAATAGCATTATCGGATGGCATTCTCATTGTTACTGTTGGGTGCTTAAGTGTGCTGTAAACTCAACTTCAGCAGCCAAGTGTCACCCTCCCCTGCCCTCTTCCCGTCCAGCCCTGCCCTATCTATTTCACATTTAATTCCAGAAGGGACTGTTTTCTTCCCAGTCTCCTCCGTTCTTCATCTCCTCTTCCCTCTAATGCCCTCATCTGCTTTTACACCGGCTGCTTTGGGGAAAAGACTGAATCCATTTGTGAATGTAGGCAGCACAGACCAAAACTGTTTCATAGATGCAAACTGTGTCATTCTGAAAGCAAGCCGGACGCTAGCCCTCCTGCTCTCCTACCCCCACCCAGCACATTTTTTTTTAATGCTGCTCGTTGTCTGAAACAGACGATTAAACAGAAGAGAGTCACAAACACGGAGCTTTCAAGCAGGCCGGTGCATTAAGGCAACCAACTCGCAGCTTTCAGATGCGATACCCATCAGGTCTGCACCTCCTGCTCCCTTCCCAGAACAAAGGCAGCAACGCCTCTAAGAGCAGAGGCAATGCCAGCCCTGACCATGTAGCAGGGGCCTCCCCCTACCACGAGCTCTGTTAGGTCCTGGGCACTCTCTGATGATTTTCAGTTTCTAAAGCTTTTGGGACCAAGAAGGTATCAAATCGACACTATGGTTTTCACAAGCGCCACAAACCAGCCAAGGCTGAAACAACGCTAAGACTCATTCACCAACGGGATGATGCTGATGGCAACAGCTTACTGCTGGAGCTACTACACAAACTCTGCCACCAGTATCACTTCGGGTATTGCTCTATTGTCTTCAGCCAGCTACAGATGCTGAAAGGTCCCCCAGCTGCCCCCTCCCAGTCCAGTGCACCGGGCAGCGGTCAGCAACTGCAAAAACTCTCCCAACCTGCAGGCACAGCCTATCACCCCGGTTAACCCCAGTCTGTGCCTCTCCCACTCTACACTGGTAGCTTTGCTGCCTCTGTCTTATAATCTACACTACAATGTGATGGGGTAAATATTCTGTTATATCGACATCAGTGTCACAACTAACACCGGGTTGTAAATCAGTAGTGAGAAAAATCTCAAATCTATCTCCTTTTCCAGGAGTTTCTTCATGTCCAACCTGTGTTTTTGAGGACAGGTAGCTCAGTACTGCCTTAAAACCAAAAGAAGCTGGATCCCTTTATGGCATTTCAGTATGAGTGACTGAAATCCCCAAAACAACTCATACTCCGTGTGTAGGAGAGGCCAACTAACCCCAGGACAACACGCAACCCTTTCTTCCATCAAACCTTTCCAAAGCTGCCCTTTGGGAAAAAAGAAAACAAAACATGCTGAGTGGGATCCATCTGCAGCTGCTCCAAGAACACAGCAAACGTGGTTTGAATATAACTTCCAGCTTATATGGGACTCAGAGTGTCTGTGGTGAGATGCTAACTTCTTGTAAGAGTCACTTTTAAGAGTCCATGGGAGCCCCTTCATTTTGTATACAGGAGTGAAAAAGTTGTTCCAGATCCAGCAGACAGCATATCAATCCAACACGAAAGCTGGGAGCCAGTATCAGTAAATCAAAGTGTGCCTTTCTGTTAATACTCCCTCATACGTTCTCATTTTATACATCCCTTCACCCAGTCAGAAAGTAGCCCTGGAGTATTTAGCTCCATTCAGGGAGAGCACTGCCATGTATCAAAAGTGTCAGGAGACCCACCAGAGATGAAATCTGTCCTACTGCTCTCAAACCACAAAAATCAATTTTGTCAATGCCAGTGGTTACGGACAAACTGGCTGTGCTGCTGGCAGCCCCCTCTGTGTGGGGTGGCTCCTGGCTGCAGGGCACTGACCCCCCCGGGGGGCTCCCCCCACCGGTCCCCTCGGCACGCAGAGGACAGCCGTGCCCCCACCACCGCTCAAACCCAAGCACCGCCGTGCTGGGGACGTGCCGCCACGACGGCTCCTGTGCCCACTGCTCTAAGTTCAGCCTGTCTACAGCAAGGCAGCTTCCCGCGCAGAAAAATAGCTGCGCTCTTTTTGGTGACCTCTAAAAATGGGGTCTCATTTCATCTTCCCAAGCAGCTGCGGAGAGCAGCAGCTGGTGCGGAGCAGCAGGGAGCGGCCTCACGCAGAGACGCTTTAAGTCGATGGAAAAAAGCCAGTGCCTCAAGGCCAGGCTTTCAAAGGTACGCGCAGAGAGCCAACCAGTGGGATTCCCAAAACTGCTCCACCAGGCAAGCTCCTCCCCGCCTGACCCCGGCGCATCCGCCCAGCAGGGATGGAATCCTAAAAATTGGGGCAAAACTTCCAGGATTTTCACTCCGTTGTGATACGCTCGTGGCACCTTACAGGGTGCGAAGAGGCACTGCTGCGGCAGCGCTCCCCTACAGAAGGGTGCCCGCCTGCTCCGGGGTACAGACCACACACAGACACAACCAGCAGCATCGTCCAGCACGAAATACT